TATATATATATATATATATATATATATATATATATATATATATATATATGGAGTACAATATGGAGTATAAGATTGGACAACTTGGAGTGAGTAGTGAAGATGGTTTTGATGTTTAGGGGAAGAAGAGTTCTACTGATTTTGTCAGTGACACCTTTAATAAAAGGTAGAAAGATTTTGGTTTGATCCGGTGGCAAGGTTTCTTTTTTGGATGGAATGGGGTTTAGATGTTTTTGAATGCTCTTATTGATTTGGGTTTTGTGGTAGCCATTTTGTAAGAGTGTTTGCCTTATTGAATTGATTTCGGATGATCTATGATTGATGTCGCTAAGTGTTATGGAACGATAAATGAGAGTGTTGACCACTGAATTGAGTTGGGTGGGGTGATGATGTGACTGGGCATTAAGATATCGGTTTGTATGAGTGGGTTTTTGGTACACGGAATAGGAAAAACTGCGAGGTAAGTTTTTCTGAATAAGGAGATCAAGAAATGGAAAAGACGCTTCAGACTTGACTTCCATCGTGAATTGAATAAATACTAGGATGTATTCCATTCAGGTAGGAGAGGAAGAGATCTAACGCGTCCCTACCATGAGGCCAAATGACAAAAGTGTCATCAACATACCGTAACCAGCAGGTGAGTTTAATATTTGATGAGGACAGGGCTGCTGTTTCGAAATGTTCCATGAAAATATCAGCTATTACGGGAGAGAGGGGAGATCCCATTGGGGCACCTTTGATTTGACGATAGAAATTATTTTGGAATGAAAAGTATGTATTAGACATGCAATGTTTTGTAAGAGATAGTGTGTCTTGGGGAATTTTATGTTTGGAGCCCAAGATGGAAATGGTTTCATCGATAGGAATATTGGTGAACAAATAAACAATGTCAAAACTAACTAGTATATCTGAGGGAGAAATAGAAATATTTTTCAGAAGGTCAGTAAAATGAAAAGAGTTTTTGACAAAAGACGAAGCTTTTTCGGCTAATGGTTGTAAAGATAAAGCGAGATGTTTTGCCCATTTCTGAGTGGGGTAGTTGTATGCACTGACCATGGGTCTTAGGGGAACATTAGGCTTATGGATTTTTGGAAGGCCGTATATCTTTGGAATTCGGGATGATTTTTCTCTGGGTATAAGAGATTTTTTGATGTCTGAAGGTAGAGTAGACTTATTTATAATGGATTTGGTCGTTTTTCTAGATAAGTGGTGGGATCGTATATATATATATATATATATAAATATATATATATATATATATATATATATATATATGTGTGTGTGTGTGTGTGTGTGTGTGTGAATGCAACAGTTCGAATGCAACAGGTCGATATCGTAATTGTCGATATACTGACAAATAACAGTCCTATCGTACACTGCATTTAAACACTGTGCCAAATGCAGTGTGTACTCAGCCAAATGGTAGACAATACCAACTTGTTTTAAATAGAACACAGACATTTTTTGAATACAATGTCCTTTACCTATGTTTGACTGTGTCGGAAATATTAAATAAAATGCAAAAAATCACATTTAGAAAAGAAAACTATCCATTTGCCGAAACTCGCTTCAACATATTCAAAAACTTCTAAATAATACAAATCTAAACAATAATGTCAATGTAGAAAATGCTTAAAATGCTCCCCACAAACGTCTTGGTAACACCCTAACCGTGAATAGAAATTTCTTTTAACGTTACTTAACATCTGAGATGTGATCGATCTAATCGCAAGCGTTATTCGTCTTCGTAAGTCAGCTAAGTCAGTGGGTTTAGTTTTGTAACACAATACTTTTCACATATCCTTATTAAAAAAAATTAATGGCGTCAAATCGGGTGATCGTAGTGGCCATTCCATCGATCCTCACCTCCCTATCCACCTATTTGGAAATATTTGGTTGAGATACTGCCGGATACTTACCAAGTGTAATATGGATAAAATAGTAAAAGCACAAAGAGCGAACGAAAGATCAATGCTCAGGGTAAGACTTATAGACAAAAAAAAAACAAACAAATAGATTAGAAGCAAAACCAAAGTAAAAGACTCCGAAGGATAAGAGATGGAACCACGAAAGACAACAATAGAGACTATGGTTAGGAAAGAGAAGCAGAGAGGGACCACAAATGAGATGGGCGGATGATATTAAGAAGATCGGAGCACACAACTGGAAGCAAGTGGCGCATGATAGAAGACACTGGATTGATTTGGGGGAGGCCTAAGTCCAAAGTTGGATTACTTAAGGCTGAAAAAGAAGATGACTGTCAGACATGGATTTGGTAGTATGATAGTGATCCATCTTATTGAAATCATATCACATTCGCTGGAACTTGTGGGTGTCCTGGATTAGGATACAAGTTGGCCAACGTTGGCACTACATTAATTTGGAGCAATGCTAAAATTGTCGCCATTCAAGTTGCCATCTATGCAAAAAGGGAGCTCTGATCTGATCTTCAATAATTCCTGCCCACACGTTAACCTTCTCAGGGTATTGAGTATTGCCTTCTCTTATCCAGTGAGGATTTTCAATGGAACAATAGCCGCAAATTTGGCGACTGACCATGAAGCGTAAAGGTGCACTCATCAGAAAACAAAACGTATTCTAATAATTGGAAAACATTGCTATCTAACATTGCCATCATTTGTTTACAAAAATATGTTCTCCTATCAAAATCATCTTCCATGAGCTCCTGATTGTGTAAAATTTTATAGCGATGCATTTTGTTTTTTTGTAATATTCGAATAACCGATGAATAGCTAATATCGAGTACTGGGGCTGCTTTTCAAAAAGATGTATAAGGGTGTTCCTCAAATTCAAGCATAACAGCTAATTTTGTATCCTCACCTATTGTATTGACACCTTCTTTTTTTACCTTCCTAACATGGCCCAGCTCGTGGAATTGCTTCGCTATTTTACAAATTGTCCCTTGAGCTATGTGCGCCAAATCAGGAAATGCTTCATGAAATAAACGAGCTACTTCAATTTGCGTCCGTGTGTTATCTCCCTAGCTAATAGAAGAATCATTTAAGACTTAAAGTAGTATAAAAAAAGTACAAAAAAATATAATAAACATATTGATAAAATGGCGCAAGAAAGAATACGAAGAACATCGAAACACAGTTAAGAAATAGGACGAAGAAAAATTGAAATACCTAAAAACGATGGTCTGATGATTTTCAAAATAACAGAGATTTAATAGGTTCTTTGCCTATTGTAAAAAATGAAGAAGAAGAAATAGATTAAATAAAACACGGACCGTATGCATGTTGTTACCTAAATAAAAATCTTTTATATCCAAAATTTAAAGCATTTTAATTATTCTCTAAATTTGTTTTAAAACCGCCTTTGAAAAAATTCAGTAGTTTGATTAACCATATATTTTTTCTTTTCAGGTAAGTGATCTTCATGGATATGGATTATTTGGGTTTATAAAGTATATAAGGTAAGTTCTTTTCTGAGTTTTTATATATCTTACCAGATATGTTGTGATTATAAATGTCCATGTTCTTCCAGAGTTGATGTTGCTCTACATCTAATCGTCTCTGGATTTTTCGCACTGTACTCTCCAAACTGTCTTATTATTCCATGTTGAATATTGACCCGGGTTTGGATATCTTTAAGCTTCTTATTTAATACTATATTTTAATATCTGCGACCAGTTAATATTTTTTATTGGAGTGTCCAACGTTACATTCCATATGAGACCAGGGAAATTAGCAAATTAGCCTTTTTCGTGACACATTTTGATACACGTATAGAACAATTGTTTTGATAAGTTTGGTAATAATATATAATAAAATATACAAAAGATTAAACATCATTTTTTACTATAAATAATATATAAACAATGTAAGAATTTAAATAGAAAAGGTGAACACCAGTAAATTATATCGAAAAGTGATAAAAGTTTATTCAAAATGCATATGAAATTCAAGAGATATTTAGGATCGTGCTACCAACAACGGGTTTCACAAAAAGTTCTGAAATATTAATAGTAAAATCCGACAATTAACAAGTTTAAAATATTACTAAAGTTATTATAGTGATTGTTAAGTGCAGGAAATCATACGTGATTAACGAAAAGTTTGATTTTGTTTGATTGCATGATAATAAAGTGAATAAATTATTGTCCTAACTAACCTAACAATTTGGTTAGAATCAAAAGAGCAATTTTCAAAATCTGATTGCTCGTCAACTTTTAAATAAAACAAATCCATACTAAGCCGAATTGATGAAACCGAACAATCGAAAACGACCAAAATGAATAGTAATAACGGCAATGTTATTATTGAGACTAAGAACTTGTAGAACACTAAAAAATATTCCACAGCATTGATTTACTCACCAATAAATTTTCCTAGCAAAGAGCAGGCAATTATCTTCTCTGCAATAGATGGTCTCAAATTACAAGAGTATTTATTAGAACTCGGCCCACTTGTAGATCCAAAAAACATAATTATTTTATTCAGAATTTCAAACAACCGTGTTTGTGTATACTTATCAAGTAAATCAGCTGTAGGCAAATTTTTAAAAGAACATAATTCTATTAAAATTAATAACACAGTAATACCAGTAAGAAAGCTAGTTACCCAGTCACAAAAACTTGTTCTATCCAAGGTAAGTCGAACAATTCCACATAATTTATTGAAAACAGAGTTAAAAATTATTGGATTACAGCTAATGTCTTCCCTTACATTTTTACGAATTGGATCAACCTATCCAGCGTATAGTCACATACTTAGTTTTCGAAGGCAGAAGATAGTTTCTAAACTCCCTATACATTAGAAATTAATTACGATGACTTAAAATATCGCATATTTCTTATAACAGATACAATTTGCTATAAGTGCAAGCAACCAGGTCATTTTGCACCTCAATGTGCTGGCCTCCAACTCCAAGCTTTAACTTCTTTATATACTAGATTATAACAACAAAGTTCCTTTCTAAACCATTCCTCAGACAACAATAATTTAAGTGAGTCTCTTTCAAATACTACTAACCCTGAAATGATATGTGAACAAACACCAATTACTTCTACATTTAACGAGCCTAATCCCGACATACCCGCTATTTTTGAAGTTCAAACTACTCCGATACCAAAACCTACGACCTCCAAACAACAAAATTTATCTGAAATTGCGACAGCTAGACCAGAAGATACACCAGATATTATTAATTTCTTAGAACCAAAATCTTACTTTTTAACACCTGTTCCAAAAGTTCCAAAGAAAAAGTTGAAGACAAACCCTCATGATAATTTGGAGAATTGCTCCAAAAGATAACCAATTTTATTGACAATCACAATTCTAAGTTCCCACTCGACAGTCAACAATTCACTGATCTGTTAGAGAACACTCACGGTAGCAGTGATGTATTAGACTAAATGTACTAGACCAAGTAAAAAATTAACTAAACAACTGCTCGAACATGTTGATTCATCTGACTTAGACAGTGGTATATCTCAAAACTAATTATTTAAATAAAAATATAATTCATGTATAATAATATTTTACAGTGGAGTTTAAACAGTTTTTTTCATCCGCCTACCCTTATTTCAGGTACTTATTAGGAAATATTCTTTTAATATTATATGTCTTCAAGAAACTAATGTTAAAGACAACAATGTGTATAACTTGAAGTCACATAATGTTTACTATTAAAATAGACAGACAAATCATGCTAGTTGTGGTGTTGCGATATATCCTAAAACCGATTTACTAGTAAACAGAATCACAATTAATACAAATTTAGAAGTAATAGCAGTAACAGTAACAATAGGTACTAATCAAAAAATGAACATAATGTAACATTTACATGTAACATCCCCCGAGCTAAATATCTAAGAAAATGATCTTAGCTATTGAAGCCTATTCACACCAACATACCTGCCTTAACATTCGGCACAAAGTTTTTGAAACGAATTACAGAGATAAAATATTTAGGCATAACATTCGACGGAACTTTAAGTTGGAAACAACATATTAAAAAATTGGCGATATCATGTCAAAATGGTATACATCTTCTTAAATGTTTAGCCAACAAACAATGGGATGCTGATGGAGATACGTTATTACTGTTGTATAGAAGCCTAATCCGATCAAAATTGGACTACGGATGCATTGCATATTCTTCAGCGTCGAAGTTAAATTTAAAAATCTTAGACATTATACATAACAATGCATTACGCATAATCACTGGAGCTTATAGAACAACTCCTATTGCAAGCTTCGAGTGGGAGCTTGGAGAGCCATCATTCCATGAACGACGGAAATTATTTAGTCTTTCATACGCTTAAAAAAAAATCATCCCTACAACCTGACAACCTTTATCTTACTCAGTCATTGTTATCAAATATCAATATAAGAACACATTTACCATTTTAATTAAGGATCAACAACATTTTAAACTCTATTAAAATTTTTAATTATCCCTCAACGCATTCAGCAAACGTAAACACGCCACCTCCCTAGTTAATAATTTTGCCTACTTTACATTTAGAACTACCATCATCATCTATCCCTAGATGTACGTCAAGCTTTTGATAAGATTTGGCATTAAGAATTTCTTTATAAAATTAAACAAACATTACCACCATTCTTTCGAATACTTACATTATATTTGAAAAACCGACAGTTTAGAAAAAAAGTAAATGGAGAAATATCGAAAATGCATCCCATTAAGGCGGGTATTATATATAATATACACATCTGATCTACCAACTTCACATAACGTAACAATTGGCACATTTGAATATGACACAGTAGCACTTAAAAGTCATAAACACATTAACATAGCTACACAACAACTGCAAGACTATTTGTATAAGCTTGAAAACTGACTAAAACAATGGAAAATAAAAATAAATGAAAACAAGTCAACCCACGTAACTTTCACTTTACGACGAGAAACACCACCACCAATATATATCAACAATGAGGAAATACCCAGGACTAAAACAACCAAATACCTAGGGCTACACCTGGATCAAACTCTGTATTGGAAAGAACAAATCATAAAAAAAAAGAAAACAACTACAACTCAGACAAAAAGAAATCAATTGGTTAATTGGAAAAAACTCAAAGCTGTCAATAAATAATTAAAATTCTAATTTATAAAACAGTTATCAAACCAATATGGATATATGGCATAGAGCTGTGGGGCTGTAGTAGTAAATCTAATATTGCTCTTATGGAAAGATGCCAATCAAAAATCTTAAGAACAATTGTTGATGCACCCTAGTACCTATCCAACCAAAAAATCTATGAGGATCTCAATATCTCAACAGTGAAAGAAGTATACCAGCAAAAGAAATTACAATACATTCAAAAAGTGAACACACACTCCAATCCATTAATTTCCACAATACCTCAACATCGAGTTATCAAAAGACTAAAGCGACGTTGGCCAACAGACCAGTAACATGGAACCGTGATTCTCTCACTGGAGGGGACCACATTACGCCAGAACCAAGGGACAGGACCTAAACTCATCACATTAACTTTAGAGTACATTGTTTTATTCTGATTGTTAATATATTAGTTATAATAAAAAAAATCACATATAAACATTCAAATCAGATAAATTGCTTATTATTACTGACACAATCAATTCCCTCCATATACTGTCAAAAATGTACACCTGAAACCCGATTGCTAAATTAATTAAAAACAAGATGCAGCAGCTGGAAAACAAAACATTAGTCTTCGTGTGGGTACCATCACATATAGGCATTAAAGGAAACGAACTAGCTGATAAAAATGCTCGAGAAATAGCAATTTCCCCAAATATCAGACCGATAACAAAACCATTAGCAGAAGATCTCAGTCCGTATTTTAAACAAAAGCTGATATTTAATTGGACTAAATATTGGGAAGAAAATCTTCAAAGTTAAATGAAATTAAACCAAATTTTGGACGCTGAAGTAACAACATCCCTAGTCGTATCCTTCAGGTTGTATTAACCAGACTCCGATTAGAACACAGCAAACTCACACATAAATATCTCATAAAGAAGGAACCTCAACCAAAATGTACGAATTGTGACATGCAATTAGCAGTGAAACACGTATTAAGGAAGTGTCCAAAATATAGTGCTGAAAGACTAACTAATAAAATTTCATCAGTTATAAGAGATATTTTTAGTGAGTGTACCAGTGAAAATATTGTGAAATTTTTAAGAGACTGTAACATATTAAACCATATATAAATATGTTATTTATTTGTTTTTTGTAATCATTATTGTTTACATTAAATCCATCCGCTAATAGCCAAGATGGTTGATGCGGCAGCCTTTAAATAATAATAAAAAAAACGGGTGTGGCAGTCTAGTGGGACTGCCGGTAGAAGTTATACTTCTATACACGCGTTCGACGTTACAAATTTATATGGGAGTAAATCTGCACAATCATTACATATTTAGTGCTATAGGTAGGAGAGAGCAGAAAGAAATGAAGAATTAGGTATATAGGTATATGGTGCATCGTTTGCTGTATATAAACATTTCACCTGTAATAGGAGTCAAGTAAATGAAGGAATGTATCATTATTTTAATGAAAATGTATATTTTCATTTGCATATATGTATAAAAGACGTTCAATGCAAAAAAAAATTACGCATACTCTGCAGTTAAATTTATTGTTTATTATTGTTCATATTCATTGTTATTAATATAAAAATTACAATAAAATACACTGCAACATAATTTAATGTAATAATACAATACAAATTAAAATGCAATATTCATAAGTATTTAAAACTGCCAATATATATATATATATATAATATATATATATATATATATATATATAACTTACAGTTATATATATTGGCAGCCAAAAACCAACAATTTGGATTATGTTGTAAATTTTCATTTTATTTTAAAATTTAGCATTTTTGCATATATAACATATATTTAATAACATTAACGTGAGGTTTTTAAATATTTCAAAAATAAACAAGAAAATTTATATTGGGATTCGAACTCACGTACACCAGCGTATGAACCAAACACGTAAAAGATTTGCCAATTAGATATGAAACTAACGGATTTCAAAATTGACAGATGTCTGTCATATAGTGATTATTTTGAAATACAATCAATATATATATAATATGTGTCAATAAAAATTATATATATATATATATATATATATATATATATATATATATATATATATATAACATTGTGTATATAATATATATAATATTAAATATATGTGCATACAAAAGAAACATTTTTATTCTAGAGAGAGGAAGTTAGAGAAAATATATCTTCTGTCTCTCTCTTACTCATTATCTTATTACATATAATAATGGTTTCACAGATTCACTCCCATGCAAATTTCCAACGCCGGCCATGCGTATAGAAGTATAACTTTAAAAAAACGTGAGCGTCTGAGGGCAAATTTGTTTATCCGAATATTATTAGGTATCGCTACCCAATTTTTAAACGAGTTAACGGCTTCGTTGTATTCTTCAAAAGTATGTTGTACTCTTCGTTGTATCAAAAAAGGTGCATTCCAACACAACATAAACTGGCAGCTTATCATAGTATGTTACATAGATTAACAGAAATTCCGATGTCAAAATACAACTTTGAGACAGAATTACATATAATTAAACAAATAGCAGTAAACAACGGATACAACGAACAAACAATTAATAAAATGTTAAATCAAAAACTACGCAAGAAAGCCCTGAAATTAGTATTTCCACCACCAGAGAAAAAACCCAGTACCTTCTGCTCGATTACATATACAGGCAAAATAACAACAAAAATTGCCAAACACATAAAAAAGAAAGGAATAACACCAGCTTTCCGAACAAATAACAACCTAGGCAAATATATTAAAAATAACAAAATAAAATAAAAAAACACTTAAATAGTGGTGTGTACAAACTTCAATGTGGCGACTGACCAAAAACTTACATCGGTCAAACTGGTAGAAACTTTGATAAACGAATAGCAGAACATAAAAGGGCTTTCAAGAATAGAAAAACAGATTCGACATACGCACTTCACCTTCTAGATCATAATCATGCTTTTAATGACAAATTTAAAATTCTTCACATTCAAAATAAAGGCCTTAAGCTATCTTTGTTAGAATCTATGGAAATCAACAAATTAAAAAACAGATATAATTCTGAATGACCAACTTGAGACAAACAGTTCTCGCCTCCTCAACCTATTTCATTAGAGACTATAAATTTGTAAACCCAAGCCAAAATAGATCACTTGAGAAAGGCAATCAGCCGAAACAGCTGTAGTGATAATATTTAAAATA